CACATCTGTAACTGAGCTTTGTATCACAATAGAAAAGCCTGTTATGTTGTTGTTTGTTCTTGGCATATTGTCACCTGTCCCTTTGAGACATTCCAAAGCTCTATGGGAAACACGGGTTCAAACTCTGTGTCACTGTACGAAGGCTAAAATTTATGTAACATAAAATGGGAGTACTGCATCAACGAAGAAATAAAACCAAACTGTCAACCAGTTGATGAAACCAACAAACTACCAAACCAAAAGTGCAACCAGTTGTTTTTTTTTTAATCTCTTATGGCCAAATTGCCTTTACCATTTATTCATGCAGCTGAATATTTGTAGCAAAAATACTTGCAGCAAGGATGCTTATGGTGAAACTACCTAGAACCAGTCTGTGTGCCCTAACACTAACACCTTCCACAGTGTTAGTCTCACAGATCCAAACCAGCCAAGTGGTAACAAATGTCACAAAAATAAGGAACCATTTTTAAAACCTGTGCAATTTTCTCAAATGACTCATCGTGGAGCTGACAATTGAATTTTTGCCTCCCAGTTTGGAATGCCAGGGAGGAATTAGCTTTTTCTTTGAAGTGATAAAAATTTTTAGAAATACTGGTGGTGGTGGTTACACAACACTGTGAAAGTAATTGATGCCAATGAAATGTATACTTAAAAATGGTTGAAGTGGCAAATTTTATGTACATTTTACCACAATAAAAAGAATTCAAATGATGTTGGTGGAGTTTTTTCTTGGGAGAAGAGTATTTTTAATGCCCTTGTTTAGCCATCTTAAATATGTTCCCCAGTTTTATTGTTTTATTTTTTTTTTTTTTACATTTTATTAATCTAAGAAATCCTCAAGTCTTGAGGCTACTTCATCTATATTGAGAAGTAACCTATACTCTAGTACCCTATTGAGAAAGTAACCAATACTAACACTGGTTATTTTGCAGAATCTGCAATTCACTTTTAAAAGACAGATTTTAAGGGGTGCCTGGGCTCAGTAGGTTAAGCAGGCAACTTCGGCCTAGGTCATGATCTCAGGGTGAGTTCGAGCCCCGCGTCGGGCTCTGTGCTGACAGCTCAGAGCCTGAAGGTGCTTCGGATTCTGTGTCTCCCTCTCTCTCTGCCCTTCCCCAGCTCATGCTGTGTTCTCTCTGTCTCTGAAAAATGAATCAACATGAAAAAAAATTTTTTACAAGGCAAACTTCGATTTGTAACACCTTCTCTTTTTTTCTGTTACATACATTTCTTTGGCAATGAACTGCTAAATAATAATAATAATAATAATACTGACACTTTTAAAGGAACGAAAAACAATGGGTAATAGTCCAATACCATATTTCTAAATTGTTTTTCTGCAACTAATTGCTTTTGTCCTATTGTTTAAAAGACTTCATATAAATTACACAGCAACGCAAAGATCTGTTGTTTGGTCATGCCGATGCTTTCATAATTTGGTGAAACTGAATGATGTCCTCTAGATTTCACAGCAGAATCTGTAAAATAATAATGAGGGCCTGCTGTTTCCCCTGGAGACAACTGTGGTCTTTGAAGGGTATCAAATCTGTCAAGTCACTGTCTTGGACACTAATAGAAATAGGAAATTTCTGTTACTTACAAATTAAACTTTAAAAAAAAAATCCAGTCCTTCCAAAATGAGCATATGTATGTTGCCCAGTTTTATTCTTTCATACTTTTTATTAAAAAAAAAAAGGAAACCAAGCAATTCTCATTCTGATGATCAAAGTTTATTTTTATCCCTTGTTTTTTATTTGCTTTGCAACTGCCTACTTATCAAACAGGCTGATTTAAACATTAATTTCAAGGCACTTAGGTGTTTGCATCCAATGATGAGATTCAAGACTTACCCTAGACAAGATGGGTGCAAAGTTTGTCATGCGCACACTCGATTCCCTTTTCTGTTCTTTTTATCTGCCTTCTCCCCTCTCTAGCTGATGTTTCCTGGCTGACCCCTAACATGATTGCCTGTCACGAGGAGCCTGGCAAGAATCTTAAACTGAATGTTCTCATGAGGCAGACCAGTCAGTCAAACACCCCGAGCTCCTGACTCACTGGCCAGTGCTCCTTCCTACATTTCACTTGTTCTGCAACAGATCACTCTCACCAACGATCCTCAGTGCTATATCATGTGCAGTGTCAATCTTCTAAAAACAAGCAAACAAACAAAAAACCATTGTTCTCAATGCCAGGCTGGGGGTGTAGGCCAATGAACATTGATGGCCCTCAGTCACCCAGTGTGTTACATATTGCACATCTTTCTTAGAGTTCTTTGAATTTCAGCCACAGACTTGTGGCATTGATTACCACAACACCCCAACCTCCCTTCCCAAAAAACAAGAATGGTAGAATTTTATACATTCTGGCAGCCTTGTTAGAAAAATTATTTTGTGGGAAATCAGTGGATTTTTGGTGTCTGTTCAATTCTCAATATTATACCACATAAATCATCACCTACTCACAATGTTGGATTACAAACAAATAGTACCTAAAAAAAAATCAGAAACCTGTAATTCTAAAATACTACGAGATGATGTGCAGGTAACCACAGGAAAAAAAAAAAATTAGAAGTCTCAGTCCCTTGTACAAGGGTTTTGATCTTTGCTCGAACTCTTTAATTTATGAAACACTCAGACCTTGTATTCATTCTGGAACACCTTATGATTATGGAAAACCATACAATAATTTCTACATCTCCTTTATGACACAAGTGGCATTTTGTGTATTTGTCACCCCACATGGCTCATAACTTTATAAGTAAGTAGAACTGTGGAAGGTTAATACATGCCAAAATTAGGCTCAATATCAGGCAATACCATATTTGAGAAATACTGTGCAAAATCTATGCAGTGGGAAGAGTTAGCAGTGAGTGCACGCTTACTTTTGGTCAGACATAATTCTAGGTATAAGAATACTTAATAATATCCCCTATCCCTGTGTATTTGGACATTGGTTTTAACTTTAAAGTGAAAGCCTTCAAAGAATCATGAGACTGCAACCTCGTGGAGCAAGTGTCCTTCCAGGAACTAGGTAGGAGATATTCCCTACACCCTTCAGGCTCTACTGAGCAGTCGACAGCACTTTCCTCCTCCCAGAAAGAAGATACTTGGATGCACTCATTAGGGATGTTGTAGGGGGAAAAAATTACACGTAGGGTAGAGTTGGGTAGATTTACCATTCATCCCTTATGATTCTATGATCCTAAATAAAAAGATAAAGAATAAAATCTAAAGGAAATGCTTAATGAGCTGGATTTATGATTCATTTTAATTAAGCCATTATCCTTATTTTATTATCTATTCCAAGTGGAGGCATTAATGGCTTAAACTTTTCAGTTTCTGAGCATTGGGCTGACTTCTAAATGAAATATATTCATTTTAAAATACTCATTGCTATATGATAAAAATAAAACTACCATCTCTATTCCTCACGCTTTTTATTTTAAAATCTGAATCCTGTGTATGCCATTAAATAAGTAAGGCATGGATCTGTCCAGAGGTGAGTGGGTACTCTTCCTGACCTGTATATGTTAAATGACTGATGGCCAAGGTTTATTCGCTACCTGCCTGCCGCAGGCAGGAAGAATTGCAGAACTTTGTGAAAGGTAGCTTTTGGCAAGTTTCGAAAGCTGTGTGGAGATGAGAAGGCGTGTGTGTCCTAGAGTTTTTCAATTGCTTTCTCATTTTCAAATGTTGCACGTCCTCAAGAGACCTTGTCAAGGTCAAAAGCACAATGAGCTAACCAGGGGAAACCCCAGAGAAAGCCAAGATGTGAAAATAACAGCTGGCTCCCTAGAGAACAGGAGCCTTGCTGGTTTGGCAGGCTTGGACTCTTGCGGTGCTCTCTGGAAGGCTCTCTTGCTCTTGGGGGAGGGAGGAGGGAAACCAAAGGGCAAGAAGAAGAAAGGTGGGAGCACGATAAGATAAACTATAAAACAAAATGTAGCAGAAAGCAAAGACAAGAAGTAGAAGGAGATTTTAAGGGTACAAAAGAACCAGTAATTTTTTGGTTAATCAGAAAATAACATGTAACTTTGGATATACTTTTAACATTCAAGTTTTGAGGGATATATTTCAAAACCTGAATCTCTTTAAAGCATTGGCTGAAAATACCTTTCCAATGTCTACTCTTCATATGAAAATAAAATATATACATACTGCTTGAAATGCTCCAGAATGTCATATTACAAGTGTACATTTGAATAAAAGCCACATATGTGAGGATATTCTAAGTTCTTTGCCCAGAACAGTGCAATGAAAACTGATCATGTAGTTTTATATTCTTCCCATAAATAAAATAGAGATTTATTATATTAGAAATCTTAGGTGTTTTGTTTGAAATCTTGAGATGTTTTGGTTTATATTGATGAAATTAGTCATGGAAGTATGCCATTTCTCTTGGTCTTGTTTCTACATTTTTGATATTGAAATGTAGAGAAAAGTAAATGGAATTTGCTATTAAATTATCAAATTTTGGGGCGCCTGGGTGGCGCAGTCGGTTAAGCGTCTGACTTCAGCCAGGTCACGATCTCGCGGTCCGGGAGTTCGAGCCCCGCGTCAGGCTCTGGGCTGATGGCTCAGAGCCTGGAGCCTGTTTCCGATTCTGTGTCTCCCTCTCTCTCTGCCCCTCCCCCGGTCATGCTCTGTCTCTCTCTGTCCCAAAAATAAATAAATGTTGAAAAAAAATTAAAAAAAAAATAAATTATCAAATTTTGATGACTGTGGAGTTTTCTATTCAATACTTCTCAATTAGTATAATTAACACCCTTCTTTTTTTCAGTGGTTTCAAATGCATGACTCCCTTATAGATGCCCTCTAGGTATTAGAGGTACCTTTCTATGTGCTTCAAAAAAGATTGTGTTCAAGAATGCAGAGAAGCTTTGTCAGATACCCTGTATAGATATATAGATAGCATATTTCATTTTATTTTTTTTTAAAGTCTACAAGCATTTTAATGGTTCTTTTCTTTTCTTTCTTTCTTTTTTTTTTTTTTAATAGCAGAAAATGGCCCCCGTCTACTCGTAGAAGCAGAACAAACCAAGGTGTTCTCACATAGAGGTGGCAATGTTACACTGCCATGTAAATTTTATCGAGACCCTACAGCATTTGGCTCAGGAACCCACAAAATCCGAATCAAGTGGACCAAGCTAACTTCAGATTACCTCAAGGAAGTGGACGTTTTTGTTTCCATGGGATATCACAAGAAAGCCTATGCAGGCTACCAGGGCAGAGTGTTTCTGAAGGGAGGCAGTGATAATGATGCTTCTCTGGTGATCGCAGACCTCACCCTGGAGGATTATGGGAGATATAAGTGTGAGGTGATTGAAGGATTAGAAGATGATACTGCTGTGGTAGCATTAGATTTGCAAGGTAGGTACTATAAATCATGTTAAGCTTGGAAATGATAATTAATCATTTTTCATGATGAGTAACGTCTAGTGGTTACCACAGTGATAATGTGAGAACTCAAAAGCCCATGAATGGAATGCTTCTGCTCTTTTGTGTTTTGCAGTCTGTCACTGATTCCAGCTTTCGTGTTTGAAATGTACACACAATGGTTATACGTAAAAGTGAAGCTATTTGCAAGTAGGAGAAACGTGCAGTGGAACTGAATTAACAATACTTGGAAACTGCCTTATGCTATTCAAAATTTAAATCTCATTACATAGTTATTGAGAAATTCAGATTGAATGCATTTTTATTATGCTTCTAAAATTATCTCAGTTTCAAATAATGCCAACTTTTGTGAAGGACATCTGCTAGCTAAAATACATGTAATTGTATTCTATCAACTAACTGAAAACTTAATTTAACAAAAAAGTGCCCTCCAGATTTACTTAAATAAATAAGTAAAGAAGTAAACATTTTTAATGGTCCAGACTCTTTTAGACACCGAATACCACGTACTCAAGGCATTCTGGAGGAATTTTATTTCTTAAATAGGCAATCTTTTCAGAAATTTTAAAAACCAAAATGTGAAGAATGCTAAACAATAAAAAGTGTCCTCGCCATCCCACCTCCCCTCTGCCCAAAGCCCACCGTCTATATGCCCCACCGACAGGGAAACTCCTCTCTGTTTCTCATATCTCGAAGTATCTCATATTCATGAATTTCAGTGTTTCTTTACACTGAAGGATGACTAATGGCTATATTGTTGGAATACTTTCCTTCCTTAGGCATATAAACTATAGGTATATGTTTGTTAGAAGCTCCTTTCACATCCTAGGACAGATTTGTGCCTTTTCCACACGTGTGTTGATTCATTAACACATCACTGAAGATGTGACCTTCTGAATCCCATAGAATCCCATCACACGTATGGAGATTTATTAGCTTTATGTATCTAATAAATTGCACAGTATCATAAAGTACATTTTTGTGACCTTCTCTTGGGTGTTTTAGTTGTACTTCTTGGTTCCTGATTATATGTCACCTTGTACTTTCAGTTTTTATTGATTTACATTAATATCCATAAACATTAGCATTATTCAAGATAAAAGAAGTGATTGGCTTAGAGAAGACTGTTAACCATCAAATATGAATTGACAGCCAATTTCTTTTATCAAAGGGGCATCAGACAGTGGATGGAGCCTTGAGCTAGTAGTCCCAAGACTCTTAGGTTAGTCCCAGCTCTGCCAGTATGAGTTTTATAACTGGGGAAAGTTATTATACTTACTGTACCTGGCTTCCTTTTCTACGAATAATAGGTTGAACTGTTACCACCCATCGAGTTACTTTTTCTTCTAAAATTCTATTTCTATACCATGTATTTCCTAAACCCAAGTAATTCACATACCATATATACTGTCTCCCCACATTTATTTTAAAATGAAATGTTAAGTGAATAGAAACCCATATAACTCACCAGAAATAGGACACCATAAAAATAAATACAACTAATATAAGATACTTCTATCTTCCACCTGGATACCTGTGTGCTAATAGCTTTGAGCATGAAACCTGCTTTACCCTTGTCTGAAAAGGAGATTCATGTGTTAGAGGATGAGGCACTCTAAGGTCAAGCTGAGACTGTATTCAAGACATAATTAAAGGTGCTGAAAAGGAACTATAAGAAGAATCATTTTTTCCTGCCTAGGCCCTGCACCATCCCAAATCATCATGCTTTCCGCCCTATTGGAACACTTCCATACCATATAACCCATAAGCATACGAGCCAAGTAAATGTGTCCAAGAAACCAATTTAACTGATAAATATTTTTCCAAGGACTGTTTTGGTGCCAGGAGATATAAAGATTTCCAAGTCTTGGTTCTTTTAATTCAAAAGTCTTACAGGCCATTAAAGATCCCAATATACTTTACAAAGTAAGTATTTTAAAATAAGGCAGACGTTATAATTTTGTAGGTCAACTACACTTCAGTTAAAATAAATAAATGAAATCAGGTAGAATTTGGTAAAGTAAGTGGGTACAAACCAGCTGCTATAATCGTGCTCACTGTGTATTTTGCCCACTTGCAGTAATCCCACTTGAGAGATGAGACTTAGGGAAAACTCCTTTTCTAAGGTAACATGGCCAGTGGTAAGAGCTAGAATTAGAATTTGATAGCAAGACATTGGAAGAAGCCTATGCCTTTATCCACTATGATCCAGGGATTCACGGGAAGGAGAAATTCTTTGTTGGGGAGAAGACCAGAGGCTTCAAAAAGACAGCAGTCTTTGGCAGCTCCCAGCTTGAGAGGATTCCTAAAGGTCCCAGAGTTATCTGGGGGATAACCGACAAACCATCTTTTGGTCATACTGCATTAATTGGTGTACTCATGGTAGCTGTTAAAATTCCCCTCACTGCAGGTAGTGTTTTTCCATCTTTCTTGTGTGCTGCAGAAAGGGTAGGAGCCATCAGTAACCAGCGGACCTGCCTTGAAAAAGCTAACATTTTAACATTTAGTCTCATATACATGAATCCATTTCCAAACAAGTGAAGAAAATACAAATCTTCAAAGAATAAGATCAGAGTTCTATCTTGTACCTTCTGCCTCCTCTCCTAAGCTGTGATGTTTTCACAGCACCTTACACAGCTTTCCATTTAGCTCTCATCACATTTTGTCTTGTAAATATTTGTAAACTTGCTTGTCTCCACTTGCTAACTACAATATACTTGAGGGCAATCAAGTGCCAAGAATAAAATTAGTGCTCAGTAAATAGTTTACAAGTGATTGCATGTTAGATAAAATGGGTTTAAACTTTTAAATACAGAAAACAAAATATGCCTGCCATGCAGGGGCCATGGAAAGTAGGAAGCAACACTTGATTTGGACCATGAAAGATGAAAGGGTCCTTCCAAAAGGTAGAGAGTGTGAAAAAGCAAGGGAGAGGGCATTGTGGGTATGAGAGAGAAACCCCTGAAAGGTAAACATGTGAACACCAGATGCCATAGACAGTCGGCATCCACCTGGACTGGTTTAGGGCTCTAAGCTCAGTAATAGGGTGGGATACAAATTTTTATAATAGCCAATTTCAAATATTTGGAAAAGTAGAAACACTGACCCCCCATATACTACTGTCCAGCTTCAGAAATTATGATAATGGCATCTCATTTTATCTTGCTTTATATAACCCTATTTCTACTGAATCTTTTTCAAGAAAAACTCAGAAAGCATATTATTTTATCTATACCTGTTGCAAGAAGAGATAAGGACACATATTTTAAAATGCAATTGCACACAAAAAATTTAAGCTAACCCTTGGAGAATAAAATTTCAAGAGCTTGCTTGCTGCCTGAAAGTGACTTGATAGTTTCCACATAGTCTTGGATAGAGGAGCAAGGTGTGTTTTAAAGGCTCAAATAAACTGCATGTGCAAACGCAAGCTTGCAGTTATCACTTACTAGCTCCACCCCAGTTTGTGACTTTTTTTCATTATCATTTACATTCTTAATGTGACCATCTACCAATCAGGCAGCTTTCACTCAAGCTCCTTGTCAATGTTCTCATGTGCATAAATAAGAGCACCAAAAACTAATATCATTTTAAATGTCATGACTATGCTGCCTTTTCAACTGTAATTGTAACAACGTCCTAAATTATATTGGCCCTTTATTAGAGACTAAATGCTATGTTCTCCAAAGAATTTTTCTAATTAGGAAAAAATCGTTCTTCTTCAAGATGTCCAAATTATATGCTTTGTATTTATGTTCCAAGATTTTATTCTGTCTTGGATTCAAATTGCATATCAAATCATGAGCTGTCTTCAGTAACAGGCACACCCCAAACCTGTATCCTAGAGAACCGAGTACAGTGCCTTGCTCTTAGTTGTGACTTATGAACTTTTTGAATCACACTGATAAAAAAAAATTATACATTTTTTTGAGAGACTGAACTACATATAAATTGGAGTTAGCCGTGCAAACAATTTCTTCATATAGAATCTTGGGTAGGGTAACGCCCTCTGATTACTCCCGATTACCCGCCATGCCCAAACCAGCACCCAACAAGAGAATAGCCTCATGTCAATATAATGAAGAAATTCATGTCACCAGAAATTAATGAATAGCTGGGTCTGCAGAAATCATCTCAGCAATCAACACATATATAAATAAAGATACGAAAAAGAACATGATGTTTGTGCTTCCGACCTTCCACTGTATTGGTTTTCCACTGGTGACAACAGCTCCAAATATACAAAAATATAGTATGAGAACTTTTACAAATAGAAAAATAATTTCAGATATGTATGTGTACAGGATGTGTACAGAACTAATAGGCACTGAAGACAGTAAAATTATACTCCATGATTTCTGTCTTTTTATTACTAAATATATTTACTTTATAAAGTTACTGAAATTTACATTAGCTTTCATATGGGCCATGGTATGAACATCTTATGTGTCTAACAAATTGTTATTTACCAACAACTAGGGTGAATTGGACTGCAAAATTATAAATATTAAGGAATGTGTTTTCAAAACATACTTCAACTAACTGAACTTCTCATGTCATTTGATATTATTCTTTTCCATACAATATATCATTCTTATTAATCTCCTTTGTCGTGATACATACCAGCCCTTCATGGGAAAAGATATGGTTTTTGATAACATTTTGACATATAACTATAAAATAATCATACGTGGAAAATAATCACACACCCTTGGTGTCACATGTCTAAGTGTAACTTTTCTTATTTTTGTAATGCTGGATGAAAGCAATAACCATTTGCTCCATAATTCAGCTGTAGGAATTACACATTTTTCCACAGAGCCAAGGTTTCTACAATTATAGTCTTAGATATTAAAATATTATCTCAATGGAAGCAAAACAAGTAAATAAATAAAATGCTAACAAACATGTAGTTTCAGAAATGCCCCTGCTTGTAAGAATCAAGATTATTGAAATGTGTGCACCCAATGTGCTCAATACAGTGAAACTTCTACCACTTTGGCTAAGACATAGAAAATGACCCTGATTTGCCTGGAATGTATTGTTTCCATAATCATCAAACATTAAAATTCAAGTAAATCTTTTGAGTTGGTATACAATAAGTTGACCAATTATTCCTACAATTAAAAAATAATAAAGTTGTCATATAGGGTTTCACTTTGATTTTAAGAAGGGGTTGCATGAAGTTATGTTAAATTTGAAAAGAACTTAAATAAAAATACAGTACACTAAATTTGGAACTGAATCAATCGTGTTTCAGTAACATTCAATCGTTAATCAAGAATAACCACTAAAGAAAATTTTTTCCTAATGTCCATGATAGTCCACCAGATATACCACAGTGACTTTAAACCAGAAAGGTTGTCTAGGTCTTTAAAATTATTACAAAATAAAATATCCTACATTCTCCACTATTTCCATCTTGAGACATCTGGGAAACAAAATCCAACCCAAATGGTTTCTTTCTCCAGATTGAAACACTTTGAGATTTTCCTTTCACTTGGGGTCTGGCTGCCAAGGAAATCTCTACTGGATAAATTAATTATTTCTCTTTTCATTGGCATTGCTGGAGTTCTGAGCAAAGAGGACGAAAGGCATGAGGGGACAGGCAGGGCTACAGCAGATCCTTCCAGCACTAACTGGGGTTCTTAGCTGGATGCCTGGAAATAGGTCTTCTTAGATAGAACCATCTCAGACTCCCCTCCACCCCCATCACTGCAGGGGGCAGTGGTAACTGACAGAGTCTTTTCCTCCTTCCTTTTGGCTCTGATTCAGCTTACAGATCCCTCAGCCAAGAACCTGAGAAGGCAGGATGAGATCAGGAAGCCTTCCTGGATCTCTGCCTCCAGTGAAGACTGCCAGCTGGACTGCCCTAGAGGGACAAACGTGTCCTGCAGAGGCCCTGGGTGGACAGGACTTGATTTAGGCTATTGAAATTTCTTCTTGTAGAGTCTTCCAGGACATCTTATAAAAGAAAACATTTCCTGTGTCCTGGTTACACTATTAGTCAATTGTAGATTCATCTTGAATAGGGTCTGCGGTCTCATAAAATAGCACTTGTGATATAACCTACCAATTACTGTGTCAGTGGGACAATTTTTCATATTCCACATGCTCAAGTATTAATCATTTCTAATTATAGTAAAAAATCCAAGGCAAGGCCTTGAATAACCACTCTAAATTAATAGTTAGTTATTTATTTATTTATTTATTTATTTATTTATTTATAATGTTTATTTTTGAGAGAGAGAGAGAGAGAGAGAATGAGTGGGGAAGGGGCAGACAGAGGGGGACAGAGGGCTCTGTGCTTACAGCAATGAGCTTGATGTGGGGCTTGAACTCATGAACCATGAGATCATGACCTGAGCCAAAGTCCAATGCTCGACTGACTGAGCCACCCAGGTGCACCCCCTTTTTTTAATGTTTATAAATTAACAGTCTTGTATGGGGAGACATTTTGATGCAGTGGTCTTTCTTAAAGTCCGGGAAATGATACAACTTTGCTTCCTTGTGATGTGATTCTTATCCTGTAAGGAAACTGTACAGAAAGTTATGAGAGGGTTCAGAAAGGGTACAGAAAGTTATGACCGCTAGTGATGATCTGACCAAAAAGAATGCTTTTGGAAAATAATTGCGTCTTCCCAGGCAAAGTCAAGTCCGAAGTCACACTGTTCACTTTCGTTAAGTGCTTTTGCATTCTCAAATATTTTACTTAATTCTTTGGCATTAACTCAAAAGATGTTTATTCTGTATCTACCTTGTATAGGACAAGTTTTGGGAAGGTTTTTCTGTTTTTCTATTTGCAATAAAGAATGTTTTTAAAAGCTAGTTTCAATTTTCAATATACGAATATGAAAGCTGAAAAATAGTAATAGAAATATTTTTAAATGAAACCTTTCATTTTAGCTGCACCATTCAAGGACAGAAAAAATAAAATAAGATTAAGGGCTACACTAAAAGTTGAAATGGATAAGAGTCACAGGGAGCCTGGGTGGCTCAGCTGGTTGAGCGTCTGACTTCGGCTCAGGTTCTGATTTTGCCGTTCAAGAGTTCGAGCCCCATGTTGGGCTCTGTGCTGACAACTCACAATCTGAAGCCTGCTTCAGATTTTGCCTCTCTCTCGATCTCTGCCCCTCCCCCCGCACGCGCGCGCGCGCTCTCTCTCTCTCTCTCTCTCTCTCTCTCAAAAATAAATAAACATAGAAAAAAAAGGATAAAGTCAGGATACTCTCTATGGAAGTTGTGCTACACTGGAAAGAATTATCTTATTAATATGAAGTATGGGTGCTTAATTAGGTTTTTGCTAGACATGTAAACTCACTTTAGAGTTTCTCCAAATAAGAAACCTCCTAAATGAAAATTTCTTCTCTGTAAGTTTTCAGAACCATGTGTAAAAGCAAGTATATATCTACATTTGAATCATTTATTACCGTGTTTGTTCATACATTTAAAAGGCTATATTAAGCAAATTACGAATTATATAAGAAAGATTACTAAGAAAAACATGGAAAAAACAAAATACCTTCTCTCTGAGCACTGTTTCTATACCCTCTACCACTATTAGTATTCAATATTGACTTTCTCCCAGCTGAAAAGGACTCAGTAGAAATCCCTTTTAAGATTAGTGACTAGTAGCAGAAGGTAAATTCTCAAGGGGGGCTATTTGAAAAACATAACCTGTGGATGAATCATTCCAGCAAAGAGAATTTTAAGGCTTGGGTTGAGCTCTTAGCAAAAGGGTAAAATCACCGAAGTTATGAAACCGCATAGCTGACTCTGACATGCTCAGAGCTGAGACACTGTTGATGAGGAAAAGGGACCGTGAGAAACCATTTCAGGTTGATCAAAAACTGCAACTTCATTGGATGGAGATTCTATTAGGTTTTCACCAATCAAGGGGCATTTGCTCAGAGTTGTTCCTTTTTGTACCACTAATCCCTTGGCCTCTCCTTTGGACAGGTGTGGTGTTCCCTTACTTCCCACGACTGGGGCGCTACAATCTCAATTTTCACGAGGCACAGCAGGCTTGTCTGGACCAGGATGCTGTGATTGCCTCCTTTGACCAGCTGTACGACGCCTGGCGGGGCGGGCTGGATTGGTGCAACGCCGGCTGGCTCAGTGACGGGTCTGTGCAATATCCCATCACAAAGCCCAGGGAACCCTGTGGAGGCCAGAACACGGTGCCCGGTGTCAGGAACTACGGGTTTTGGGACAAAGATAAAAGCCGATACGATGTTTTCTGTTTCACATCTAACTTCAATGGTAAGCTATTAACTGTACTGCCTTCTTTCCTATCCCGGGGACCAATGCATACTATGACGCCACGCTCAACTTTTAATCTTACCAATTAGAAAAGAACATGGTTTTGATGCACTGTTTCCGTTTGAACATGTAAAGTTCTTTACTGTCATAGTTTTTTAAAATATTCACGCAGGGCAAGCAAAAATGCTTATTTCCACTATTCTTAGGTTTTATTGCATCAGCTTATCATAAAATAGTTTAAACTGTAAGGGTTCTCTTTCTTATTGACAAAGATGCTGCTGCTCCTGTGCGCAAAAGAGATGCGTGCCCTGGGATACAGAGCTCTTAATGAAGCGAAGGTAGCTTCCGAGTCATACTCTCCTTCTCTAAATTACAAAGCCAGTTATGTTCAGGGTTGATCAGCAAAGCGCACCATCAGGAGAGAGCTCAGAGTAAAGAGAACTTGGCAAGAAAAATTAAGTAGCAGTAACACTGGAGGTGAAAGCAGAAGAAGAGAGATCAGGTTGCCTCGGTGTTGCTGATTGCCTTCCGTGTAACCCCCAGCCCTGTCTTGCTCCATCCAGAGCCAGCTACGTAATTTGTGGGGCCCAGTGCAAAATGAAAATGTGGGCTCCTCATACAAAAATTAAGAATTTTAAGATGGTGACAGCAGTAGGTTAAAGCAAGCATGGGGCCCTGTGTAACTGTACAGGTCACACATCCATAAAGCCAACACTGGCCCCATCATTTTATATTTTTGCTCCCTGATGGCATGGTTTAGGAAAAATAGCAAGGGATCAGGGATCAACAAACTTTCTGTGAAGGGCCAGATAATAAATATTTTTGGTTTTGTGGGCCACAGGGTCTCTGTTGCAACCACTCAATGTGGTTTTGTACACTGTAACACAAAACAGCCATAGACAATTCTACACGGATGGCTGTGGCTGTGTTCTAACAAACCTCCAGCGGACTCTTGTGCTCCAGTCTGGGGACCTCTGGTGTGGATGACAGAACGAACCTTGTAGCTAATGTTGCGGTGGCCTCTACCTTCCCTCCAAATCGCATTGTCTTAGTCACGGAAGAATTGGCAAGCATTAATTTATTCTTCAATAATCTGTAGGTAATGGAGGGCAAGAAGACATCACATTGCAAAGGGTAATCAGATAAAAGAGTGTGACTTTATGCTACCTGAAACTAAAAGTCTAAGATAATCTTCATTGTTTCACCACAGTCAGTCGGTGTGACTTCACACTTTGTATGCATATTTAATACACATTGAAGGCATCTCAGTAATGAACTTTACTCAGTAAGTGGTGGAGACTAACTTGCTCTTTCTTGTGAAATCAAGATATGGTTAGGTGTCAGGGCTCCCACGGAGACAAGTTGAAAAAAAAAATTCATTCTCTTTGCTAGTAGGTGAACAGACTGGATTCGCATTCTGAGTCCGTATTATTTATGGCAAGTGACTTCCTGTATTTTTTGCATTTTCATACTGTAGTCTCTGAATAAGAATAATGTCTTATTGATACCTGTAATGAAAAGGACTTGAGGGCTTTTGAGTTTGTTTAAATGGACTTTTATGTCAGGAATGTGTTTTGATCTTTTCACATTCAAATTTTGCCTCTCCAGAAACTTGTGCTGGGGCTCAGTCTTGCTACAGCTAGAATTTAAATAGCTCTTGCTTTTAACATGGAATTCTCGCTCTAGTGCTACAGAAGGGCCCTTTGAGTCACTAATTAGCTAACAGAAACTGCAACTGCCATTTCCCTTTTCTGTTTTCAAGCTATAAAAGGGCATGTCTGAACACATATTAAGGGGCAAGGAATAAGTTAATTTAACAGCAAATGACTGAGGGGCACTACATTAAAGTGACAATCCTATGTTCCCAGAGCTTTATAGACATTGCTCTCTATCCCCCTTCCTCGAGAAACGCTTCCGTTTGGGCTCCTTCCGTCTCTGTATGGCACAGTCGCAGACACACAGGCCTTTGACGCGCTCTCTCTCTCTCTCCTCCTCCACAGGCCGTTTTTACTACCTGATCCACCCCACCAAGCTGACCTATGATGAAGCGGTGCAGGCTTGTCTCAACGATGGTGCTCAGATTGCCAAAGTGGGCCAGATCTTCGCTGCCTGGAAACTTCTGGGATACGACCGCTGTGATGCGGGCTGGTTGGCGGATGGCAGTGTCCGCTACCCCATCTCTAGGCCAAGAAGGCGCTGCAGTCCTACTGAGGCTGCCGTGCGCTTTGTGGGTTTCCCAGACAAAAAGCATAAGCTGTATGGCGTCTACTGCTTCAGAGCATACAACTGAGGGTGCCCCTAGAGCACGCCAGTGTCAAGGTCATTGAGAACATGTGAAAGGTGTTTTTTTTTTCAATACGAACTCATGCAAGTTTTACCAAAACTGTGATAACCCTTTTTTACTTACTGTAAAGAGTCATTTTCATAAAGACCAATTCATCAATTTGTTTTTTTTTGTAAAGCTATCACTCAGTATATATTATAAATTAATATAATTTTAAGGGAAGTGCTACACAAGGAGGCTTTAGAGCCAATCTGTTTCGGCTACATCATCCCAGCGAAGTATCCTTTCATGAATGGGGCACGCGATAGCTTGAGAATTGCTAGGATTAAATTAAGGGAAGCACGGCTACTCAGAGCAGCAGCTCCCACAAGCACAAATTTTACACATTTGTACAATTTTGAAATGTACTACTATCAGCAAAGTAGAGCAACAGATTTGAAATACAGGCTTCTTTACATAAACTGAGATTCTGAGAGATTGCACAAAACTCAGTTACACATGGGACAATCTACACTTTTCTAAAAGGTATTATTTCAAGTCTGCAATAGACACAATGTTTTACTCTTAAAAATCCTGCCTTTTGACCAAGAAATAAAAATTAAAAAAAAATTCATATGGACTCCAATGCATATTAACAAGCACAGTTAAAACTCCTTAATAACCCCATTTATATGAAGTACGAAACGTAAATAAGCAGATAATATTTAACCAGTGAAAGACTCCTATCTTCTTTTAATTAAAATTACACATGCCTGAGAAGAATTGTTCTATCTTTTGAGTAGATTTACTGAATTCTATTTAAATTCTAAGGGCCGTTTGCTAAGCAGCATTAGCATCTACTCAGGGCAGTTATATAGATAAACTGCTGGACAGAAAAATTGTAAAATTTAGCAGCTTGATTTTATGTTAGCCTATGAAATAGTATTGTCCTATAAAAATAACTTTAAACTATTTAATATTTCCTTATTTACGTTACATGAATAAAATTTAAATCACCAAAATAATGTATAACTATACACTTGCCTAAACAAATACGGACCCGACATTCAAAATTCTTACTATTCTTATTTGTATGTTTACTAGAAAGCCCAACTGGTGCCTGTGTGGGAGGAAAAAAGTGAACAAGTGGTTCTAAACCTTCCTCCATATAGAAAATGTGGTCAACGATATCACTTTCCTTGCTGGTCGTCATTAGGCTCAAATGAAATGTGGAAGCTCTCAGCAAAGAAAGAGTTTACACTAAAATCTTCAAGGCTGTAAATGAAAGGGTAAGACCAGCTTCAGAAAAACAACTTTAGACATTAGCAGCTCCAATATTAAATAAAGCTCTGTTTTCCTATATTTTTATGACTGTTGAGACCCCGCAGGGACCAATATTTGTATTCAAATTACATTTCATGGTTTCCCATTGTTTCACAATGAGTTCTAATAAATGGGATTTAGTATAATAATCCAAGTATGACATAGCTGGTATGCTTTCATGAATGTTTTTATGTAGATTTTCCTCCCATGAACATGAGTAAATAAATCTGTTTCCTGAATTGATTGTGGTTGCATTTAAAGCTCTGTAATAATTCTAATAAATTCACTCTATATAAATGTAGAGTTACATATGTGGAAGGTATAGAACAATCGGAAGTCCATGAAACCATAATTATATCCATACATTATTTAGACAAAATATTGTAAATAAAAGTAGGCCATTTCTTTTGTCGAAGTAGATCTGGGAAATTCCCGATGCTTTAATATTTAAAGAGGACAATGTATGCATGCACTTTTTACATTAGGTTGGATATGCAAATTGTACAAAAATATAAATCCAAAGAGATTGTGAAGTTCAACTCAAACACACTGCTGATATAACTAGAACTCAAACTTCAAAATTAAAAATACCTGAATGGTCTAGGAAAAGATGAATATATTATTTAAAGAGGGGTATCTCCAAAATAACAACTTTAACACCTCCAATACGGGGGTTAGCTTATTGGAGGAAGCCCATACTTGAATGATTATGACCCACATTACAAGAATTTTATTGGAAATCCAAGTGGGAACAAATTTCTGTTGAGGCAGATATATTATTTTCAGTTATTGCTGCAGAACTCTACCTTTATAATATTAAGCATAGTAGCGTTTCTTAACTTTTGAATACTTACTAGTATTGGAATTGGTGCTGATCAAAATCTCTGGAGTGACTGTTAGCTAAATAAAATCTATACTGATTGCACACCATTTTTCCATGCTTGTAAAAAAAGAAAAAAAAAAGAAAGAAAAAAAACCTTAACAGAATGAATACTGCTGGGCAGAATTTTTATCTTCTGACTTCCCTCAAAGGATCAGAATCCTCTTATCCCTTTGGACTTCTACCGAGTAAGGGTTTTTTTAATGTTCTTATTTTGCTGTTTTCCACCAATGTCTATTTTCCTACTTCATTCTCCAAGATATCTCATTAAGAATTTCTAAAAAAGAAAAGTTATCCAAATACAATTCCTAACAGAAAGTCAGTATAGCACTGACAAATTCAGAAATTACTCCTCAGACTAGGGTTCCAAGAGTATCAGAGGGATGAGATGGGAGTCTGGGTTAGGAAATCCTGTTTTGATCATTTTGTCCATAATTAACACTTGTGGCCCATATAAAGAACAAAGTTGATTTGAAAATTCCACTGAGATACCTACATTTGAAAACACAAACAGAAAGAAATGATTCATATGAAAAGAAGGAATGGAAATGAAAATAAGTCACATTAACACTGGAAACCATCTTTAAATGACTGCTGCCATATTTTATCACAGTAATTTTTAGTCAAATCTGGTATTTGTAAATTTAAACTTTCTGTCATAGAAAGGGGGCCGGTACCTGTTAAAGCTTTATTGTATGCAATAATATAGTTGCTTATTATTTTGGCAATTAGAAGTAGACTCAAAAGAGATTCTGATTTGGTTGCTGGCAGCCATACTGGGTTTCTTGATTTCAGTGCTCCAAAGAATATGGTGGTCTCATGGAGTAGCTGACCACTAAGGAGGGGAGGATTAAAAGGGAATGACCTGTCAGTTTTCAGCATAGAATGCATCAAGAACAATCAATGGATAACTGACATATTTTTGTTGATAAGTGAACTGTATCATAGCTCACTACTGCCAGAGCAGCAACGATGTACAACAAAAGAAATGCAAAATTCAAAAGTCATTAAACCACCTGATTAAAAGAACAATCAGTACTTAAAGGCATTTAATACCTACTGAGTACAAATCTGAGGAGAAAAACCAATCTGTATTACCAAAAAAAAAAAAAAAATGTTTTCATTTTCTGTAAGATACAATGAACTGGTAAACAAACATTAAAAGTCAATTTTGTGTTACTGCAGTATCTTTTGATTCTTCTGAGTTGTAGAATCTTAGCTATTATTCTTCAGTGAAACTCTGTAAGTTACATCATTTCAAGAAAAGACATTTAACCCGTTCTTGTTTTCATACATTTCAGTTCAAATTGTAAACACATAACATTTTCCATTTCCTATTATTTTTGCAAAGCTAAGGGGGGGAAGGTACATATCTATAATAATGATAAATCAGCAATAGTATGTCCCCAAATCTATTGGCTTTTTAAAAAAATATTTTTATATAACTCAAATATTTTATTTTCTTCACCAGGTTAGCAATCGCAGAAATCTGTGGTATTGATTAAAATAATGTACTTGAGACACTTTATGACTTCAATTATTAGTACTGAATTAAAAGAAACACCTTTATTTTCATAGTAAAGTTTCTATACTCTAGCAACAAGGAATGTACTTTTCAATGTTTCCATCCCTTCCCTGAACTTTCAACATGGAAAATAGTTTCTGGAGAGTGCTAGTATATAGAAATAGATTCTTGGATACAGAGGCTGTTGCTGGTACAATGAATGACTTGAATTCAAACACACCCAAAATAGTTTGAGGCATTGACATTCAAATAGAAAAGAGCCCTTTAAAATTTTACCCCTATTTATGTGGAATACAATGAACAACCTTGGAAAAGAAAGTTCAAGGGTAAATATCAAATTACATAATCTTTAAGTGTTTAACTTCTGGCAGAGATGAAGGATATCATCTTCAACTTTGCCAGCAAATTTCATGTATGACTACTGCCCGGTCAAACACAAAGCCTGGTTGGTACTAGCATCGAAGGGTCCTATGGAATTCCATAGTACTTACATTAAAAACAAGTTAAACTGTTCACATGTGATGTCCTTAGTCCCCTACCAAGTGTTAACACCTCATACTGAGACTATTCTGAAGTAAAAGGGACCCTGTCTACTATGGTCAGATATGTAAGGAGACTAAAAATAGTAAAAGATTATGGGGTAGTATGAGGGAGCTACGGATGCACTAAGAAGAAACTGATACCAAAAGTGTAAGAGAAGGATATTTCCTTTCCTGTCTCAATTTCTTGGGCTTTCTATTTAGAATTGCTTAGAGACACAGCTTAAGATGGCTCCGGAGTCTTTGCTTCTCTATAAGGTGATGTATTTAGGAAACTGACATCAGGCTATGCACACCAATCTTAGGGAGGAAATTCACTGCACACAGTTTTTTTCACTAAAGAAGCTAACAAAGCTTATTTATTTTCTCTATATTTCTTTCAGGCCAATAAATTTTGTCACCTCCATAGCCACTCATCATCTTAAACAACTTGGGTCAGCCCAGAAGGTGATTCCATGTCTTTCTTGAAATCAACCAATTTTCCTTCTCCGTTTATCTCTGTCCACTGGGGCTGTTCAGTATCACATGCTTCAGCTATTAAAAGATGGCTCTTTATTTAGTTGTTATCTGACTACAGGCTGAGCTCTATTTATCTAGGGGAGTATTCCCAAGGTGTAGGAAAAAGCTCAGATTCTTCATTTACCTAACAATGAAAAGCTAGTGGCTATAACAACAAATGCAAGATTCTTGGATGACAAGGAATTCTAAGAATGTTTTCTTCTCATATTTTTCTTTCTAAGGAAAGGGCCCCATTGCCAGTTCTTCGTCCTGCTTGAAATATCTGGGTTTTTAAAATTTGTTTGTTTTAAAATTTTTCTCCTTTTGATTTTGGTCAATGAAAATTCTACCTACCAAAACCTATATATAGAGAGAGACAGAGAGAGAGAGAGAGAGCACAAGCGAGAGAGCAAGAGCGCAGAAAAAGATAAAAATCAAGTGAGTTTGAGGTTTTAGAGTCTTTGAATGGCTCTTCTTTGAAGATGCTGAGAATCTTACATGTGAATCTAAAATGGAGCTTGCAGAATGAGTCTTTTACTATTTTGATAAATAAGCACATTTGTGTATAATGATTGCTGTGAGCCCAGAGAAAAGATGAATTAAGTCCTTACTCCATTGGAAGGTACTTATTCCTGTGAGGAGAGTCAAATTTCAAGTGGCTGAGAAGCAAATTCTGTTGTTTTAATAGGAATAATGTTTTTAAATCCAACCTTTAAGTTCAATGTACATGAAAACTTAGTAATCTGTTAAAGCAGTTGTATTCACATATTGCAATTACCTAGGGAACTTAAGAAATACACTAAGATCTGCATCTCTCCCCAACAGATTATGGTGAAGGGTGCGGTCTGGACTTTGGGGATTTTTATTTTTAAGTTTTTTAATGTTTTATTTTTATTTATTTTTTAGAGACAGAGAGAAAGAGTGTGAGTTGGGGAGGGGCAAAGAGAGAGGGAGACATAGAATCCCAAGTAGGCTCCTTACTGTCAGAGTAGAGCCAGATGTGGGGCTCAAACTCAAGAACCATGAGATCATGACCTGGGCAGAAATCAGATAATCTACTGAGCCACCTAGGTGTCCCTGGACTTTGGGAATTTTTAAACCACTCCCCCCTCCCCCAAACCACAGTCAATTCTAATATGCAACCGTGGTTGAGAACTACCAGTCTTAACCGTTTAAGAAACTAAGCCATTCAAGTGATACATGGTTCAATTGATATTTATAACTCACAATTAAAAATTTTTAAACTAGTATAATTCAGTTGAATTTATTGAACTTAGAATATTCTTCAAATATAAATATTTTATTCATTAGATTTGCTCTTTGTCTTCCAGTGTTAATTCCAATTACATCAGCAAATGTGTATCTAGTAAGCTATTTATCTGTCTGCCTGCCTGCCCTATTATTGTCACTCCTTCTATAAAAACTAATTGAAGCCATTTATATGTCATCCTGAAATCAAACTCTATCCTATTTAAAGTACTGGGCTATAACAATAACTGTGTAGAATATTTTGGGGACAAGAATTCAAACTCTACCCTGAAGTTGACAGCCTCTGAGATTTCAGTTGTATCTCAGGAAGAAAAAAAAAAGATCTAAGCCCCCACTGTGAGCTTTACTTTACAAACATGGACACTTAGACAAAAAAAGAAAGAAAACAAAACAAAACAAAAGGAAAGAAGAAAGACAACACAATGCCAGTAAGAGAAAGAAGAGAATTGAGGGTACAGGGATGGAGGGGGCAGAGAATAAGTAAGATATAGGAAAGTGAGGAGAGAAGATAAAGAATTCTACCCCTGCCCTAAGTAAGGACATAAGGTTCAATTACTTGATAATTCAGTTATTTGATAAAGTACCAGAGACAACTGTTTACTTTTTTAAACTCTAAGGGTGCACATGGCATGCATTCCTTATCACATTACCACGAATTCACTTATCAAATGAAACATATTGGGCTACTTATAATTTGAAGACAGAGTTCAATACAGTGGTTAAAAGCACAGACACTAGAGCCAGGGTCCCTCAGTTCACATCTAGCTCTGCCACTACTGTTTCTCGGAAAGTCATCTTGGCGTTGATTTCCCCCATCTAAAAGTACAGATATTAATGTTAATATTAATGATCTCATAAATGCCTGCCTCATAGGGTTATAGAATTTGATTGAGGGAATATATTTTGGTAATGGCTAACAAAATATACCACACTATATTGAAAGTATTTTACATATACAATCTGTTTAATTCACTTAACCCTATAATGACACATGTATTATTACCTACATTTTTACAAAGAGAAAATGGAGGTCCAGAGAGGTTAAATGACTTGCACAAAGTCACAGAGTTTCTTAGAACTAGCAAAAAAAGATGTAAATCAAGCAGATGGTCCAAAGAGTCACCCTCTTAACCACTGTATCATACGTAACCTCATGGAAAATGATGGAACAGCTCCTGGCACATTGTAAGCACTCTGTAAGTATTACGTATTATATTAGAATTTATACACAGACTCACAAATCAAATAGAAAAACAGGTCTCAGTTTCCTCATCTCAGAAAAAAGGTCACAATACCAGCATTACAACTTCTTTTTTCTCATAATTAAATGAGATTATCTAAAGGCATAAAGTTATTTATCACCCATCATTACATACTACCATGAAATATCTTTATTGTTCATTTTGTTACTATGGAAATTTTTAATATATAATTATTTAAATTTTTATTTGCATAACTCTTGGACAATATGCTACATTATAAGCTTCCAAAAGCAAGGACAATATAATGCTGTTTTAATAATAGTTCACCTCAAAGGCTAGTATTAGGTGTAAATTGATTATTAATGTCTTTATCATAAACTAATATGTACTGATAGTAAAAATTCCAGAAAATACAGATAAGCATCCAAACAATGAAGATCACTCATCCATATACCCAGAGGGAGAAAACAAAATCACTGTTAAATTTTGCCTTATAGTATCGCATTTTCCATTGTATATGTCAATAGGTCATAATTTTTAATAAAATTAAATTATAGATTTTATTTAAACACTTAATTGATTAATCAATTCTACAAAGTATAAAACATATAAACTATGTCATTAATAAATCTATTAAGTGATTTCCTAATTTGCCTATGGCTCTGGTACAGCTACTTGAATCTGCTACAACATACTCCAAGGCAAATGTAAGACACGAACAATGCATAGCTTGAAATTCCGTTAGCCACCCTTCAGCCTCCTTAATTCTATGGCTTCTGCAGAGCACAGAGGCCAACCATCTGACCCTGGCAGAGGGGATAAAGGCCTGCCCCTTCATCCCTAGCTTTAGACAAAAGAAAGGAAAGATTAATGGCTAAAGACATGAAGACTTCCTATCAGAATACTTCCTATATGAAAAAGAAAGAATAAACTTCTATTTTATAACCTCTCCACTGGGAAGAATAACTAAATTTCCAAGAAAAGAATGATAACCAATTACTTGGATGGATTAAAAATAATAAACGTTAATTAGAAAGGTACACTAACCATATGACAACAGTTAGTTGCCACCAAAAAGATACAGGAAACCACCAAAGTATGACATTCATTGAGAGGTGACTCCATATTAAAGGCTCAGTGGAG